CCCCCCTTCCTCTCAACGAACGACTTCATCTCATTCGTAAAATTTTCAGATACGGTGGGAGCAGCTCCGGCGGGTTCGGCTACGGAGGATACGGAAGCAGTTCCAGCAGCGGCGGATTCGGCGGTTACGGAAGCAGTTCCAGCTCCAGTTCCGGCGGCTACGGAGGTTACGGAGGCTACGGCGGATACGGCGGCTATGGGGGCTACGGTGGCTATTACGGGTGAAGGATAGGGAAGTTCGTCCCATGAACCGCTGTGGTCCATTGTACCTGATCCTGTATCTCTGCACTATGGGGAAGGTGGGGAAAACAGAATAGAAGACTACGATCATATTGGTGCCGGGATCGTCTTTCGGGAAAGGGCATCTCATCTTCTGTGCATCTATTTATAAAAAAGACACGAAAATCCCCCTTTAAAAAAATTAACGCTGAATAAAATGTGATAGAAAACGGAAAAAAACCCAATTTTTATTCTCAACACCATCACTTCTATCACGACTCGAGGTTCTTCTTGTCCTGTCCCGATTCGTCCTCTTCCTCTGTCTCTTTCGACTCCTTCCCTTGATTCCCATCAAACTTTTTCAACTTGGCAACAAAGAATCCCTCCATGTTGTGCACATGGGGATAGAAACGCTTCGTTCTTGCAACGGAAGGATGAAACCTAAGGAACGAGAATGATCGTACCATTGACAGTCGTGCACGAAGAAGCAGGTAACGCACGTGACCGATGTCACTCACCGAAGATGTCGATAACGAGTGAAACCATGCTCGCCAAAATCTAGTCCGGTCTCGACCAATTTCACATTCCTCTTGTTGAGTGCGTACTGCACCACGCACTCGTTCTCATCCGGCTGCAAAAGTGAAATTCAAAAACAGCATCCTGACGGGGTACTGTATGGCGCTTGCAGGAATCGGGGAGAAATGAATCGCGACATACGAGGGTGGTTCAAAAATTTTTTTTACCAAAAAGACGAAAGAATGGTTTAGAAAAAAAAAGTTTGCTTGTTTGCATTAATAAACTTTCTAGAACCTTCCAGCAGAAACTACACATTTTGATTCCTTACTCATAACATTTGAGCACAACACTTTGCATGTTCATTGCATCTATGAATAAGTTGTTGATAAAAATTTCTCAAGAAAAAGGGGGCAGAAGAGTAACAAAATCCAGCAGGAATTGGAAGCTGTATACTTTGATGAGGCCCCTTAACGGCGCACAGTGGAGAGGTGGCATCATGAATTTCTGCATGGCAGGAGCAGTCTTCAAGATAATGAGCACAGGACAACCAGCACCACAGCAGAATCGGTGGCAGCCGTTCAGCGCTTGGTGACAGATCACAATACTTATATTTGCAAGGATTCCGTGCACTGCAGAAAGGCTGGCAAAAGTGCATTGATATTGGCAGTGATTATGTGGAAAAAGTGTAAATATGTTGTTGCTTGCATATGACTATTTCTGCTATTTAGTCAAACATTTTTGAACCACCCTCGTAAATGAAGAAGAGATCAGACCATGACAGAGCAGGTGGAATAGACGACATGTCCTCCGACGGCACAGGCGTCGATTCCCGCCAAGAGTAGTTGCTTTTGAAGATTGGATAATTGTTGGAATTCTTTCTCTTCCTTGGCCGACTTGACTTGAGGATCCTTGGAGATGACTCCCGTCCCGCTGCACGGTGCATCTACCAAGACTCGATGGAATCCACCCATGGCTCCGGGGAACTTCCTCCCGTCCATAACAGAAACGCATGCGTTTGTCACTCCCGAGCGATGCAGGTTCCCTGCGATCGCTTTTGCGCGTTCCTTGTTGGCGTCGTTGCAGAACAGGAGTCCCGTGTTCTGCATGAGACATGCGATATGGGTGGATTTCCCTCCAGGAGCCGAGCAGAGGTCCAAGACGCGTTCGTTGGGGCGAGGGGCGAGGGCCATGACGGGGAGAAGACTCGAAGCACCTTGGATCATATAATGACCGGCCTGATACTCGGGCGTGGCTCCGAGAGGCACTTGCGAATCGTACACCACCAGCCCAACCTTGGTCCATTTTCCCAGTGGATCTAAGTTCACTCCCCGATTGATCAGGGTCTGCAAGCAACATCATCAACATAATGTACCATCATGCTACCACATCGTTCAGGACAATTGAAAACGAGAGTGGGTCTTGGCGGTGATCGAAGTTCTTCAATTCTTTACGGAGAGCAAGAATGGCTTTGATTAGCCTTCTTACCTTCCATTTGGTACGTTCAAACTCTAACCGCTGACCCATAACAGCATTACCACTGCCAGTATGAAGTACTAGGAATATGAATCCATCCTACCAATCGATTTCTGGGAAAGAGTAAAGAATGGATTGCCCCGAATCGCAACGGGAACGAAATCACGTTGGGGCTCAGATGAATGTGAACGAGTGGAAAAGTTAAGTTTTGGAAGAATGGAGAGAATAAGAGAACGATTTGGTAACATGAATAGAATAAAGCATTATTGAAATTATTTGATAATGTTAAACCAACACCGATTTTCCCTGACGATTTAAAAGGCAAATTAGAAATATAAAAAAGGAAAAGCAACATGAAGGTAACTATCGAGTGCTTGAGAAAAGAAGCACAACTTGTCAGAAAAACTTGCTTTCGGCTGCTCATATCTAATCTAAATCCCTACCTACGCCTAAGATGGGGGGCAACATTCATCACAAAAATGAGTGATATTGTTACTCAGTTAGAGCCATGAAGCTCTCGCATTAGCATCAAATTATCAGGACAGAATGTTCTGGTTGCCAAAAGAAGCAGGAAAACAACCATGACTTTTATAGCATGAAGAATGGCCAGGAAGTTTACCTAATCACTGTTTGCAAGCATGTACGCTCAATTGTAAAGGAGTGGGTGGAAGAAATGATGCATGAAGAATGAAGCAATCAATTTTCAATCAAGTTTATGAGAGAAAAAATTGTGATGGCATTGAAGAACTTGAAAGATGATGATGTTAATTTGTTCATACATTTTTTTAAATCTTAGCCTAAAAAATTTAGGGCACTTTCAACACATTAACAGTCACAACCTATTTATGGCCCAGTATATACAAGAGCATATGTTATTGTATTAAGTTATTGTGTTAAGGCACATGTTGATAACACAACGTTTAAATTTCACACATTTTTGTTTTAAACTCAGTACACAAACTCAAATTGAGTTACCCTTTATGTCTACTAAATTTAATCAGAATTGGAAGGCTATAATAAGATTGATAACTTAGCAAAAATGACAGTTTTTTGGGGGTTATTTTTTTTGGTCCACCCTGTATAACTCAATTCAATGTATACAGGGTGGTCACAAGCATTTTTACTAAAAAAGTAAAAATTTTTGGAGGCTTTAGTATAAAAGTCACAAAGCTGAAACTTTGCAAGATGATAGTAGAAAAGTGAAAGTTTTTTCTTTGCAATTGCTTCTTCATTTTAAACTGAATCTGGAAGAAATAAAAAAAGTTGTCTTGTGGTTGGATGTGCAAGAGTGTCTGATTCAAATGTAAATACTTTTTGGGACACACTTTAACAAAGAACCTCCAGCATGAATTATAACCAGAGGGCTCCATGAGAAGTTCCATGAAACAAATGATCATGACTTCATAAGTATTTTTCTGTGCGCTTGAATGTATATTGAATTGGCTTCAAATGATATTACAGGTAAAAATTCAAGGGTGTACTTCAATGGTGTATTAATTATGAGGAGGTACTTGAGGTCATAGAGAACAAGTGTCTGAAGGGGTTGCATAATATGCCTAAATCCTTCCCAAATACTACCTTGTACACAGCCTTTACTCCCAAATCTCGAAGAACTTTGCCCTTCCAGAGAATTTTGGGTTTACGGCTCAATTTAAAGAAGTACGCAAGTGACACTCTCATGGGAAGTGCCTTCTCAGAACAACAAACCATGCTGGAAAAGGGACAAAGTTGCTGGCTGAAGGAAGTGCGTGATAGGTGTAGGGAATTTGGATACTCATATGTGTGGAATTTTGGTTTACCAAGCTATGCTTTCCTAAAAGTCATGATCATATCATGCAACATATATGAAGGGGAACGATGGAAAAATCAAATGGATAGTATGTCCTCCTCGCGTTTTTTAATTCTTCTATTAGAAAAAGGCCTGAAGTGGGCTGATATAAGGAAACTAGAGAGAATGACAGGACCAGTTTTACGTTTCATCTCTGATAATTGGAATTTTCCTCGGCTTCTGGACCCCGCCGGATGCCTGCTTTGCCCACTGTGTTCTATGGAGGAATCTAGAGAACACATTCTTCTATGGTGTGAAGAGTTGGAGGATGTTCGTTCTCGTTTTGACTTCTTAAAACTAAAAGACCCTTCAAGGACAGCAGAAACTATAATACTAAATGCTCCACTATATGACCTTAGTTTCTTCGTGCGTATATTTATGAAAGAAATTGATTTAAATTAGAAATGGATCACGTGGGTTGCCTTTGGCTATTTTTTATTATTAGCAAGCTCGAAACTTTCATGGGCTAAGTCATATACTAAATATTACTTTTCTTTAAAGCCAATTTCTGACTAAAAACAGCTCAGTAGCTAAATTCATTAAAGTGAAGAAAATTGTTTTGCAGTTTTTATTGTGTAATGCAGTGGTCGGAAACCTGCGGCCCCTGGAGAGATTCCGTCCCGCCCGCCACGACTTTGGTCGGGTGGCAAGACTTTTTTTCAAATGATTCCATAAAACCTGGACAAGCTGACCTCCTCACAGCAGCCTCATTTACGGTTGGAAAGGAGAGAAATTAGTTTCAGCGTTCTCTGATCTTATTCTCTGCTGATGACCTGGGATTGCCGGATGATCGAACCTGTACGAACCGCTGCCAGCGCGTGAGGTGGCGGTTTTGGACTTTCAGAGGTTTCAGAGGACTTGGCTCGGACTTCAGCCTCGAGAAACGCTAATTCTTCGTCTTGTTGCCCCCTCCTTGCGCCTGTCCTTTGTTTTATTTTGACGGAATGAGAGTGCGGGAAGTGGAAGTCGTGCTGCACTTTTCTTGGCTTTCCGTGGACGTTTTCAATTCCTGTTTTATCGTGAACCTGCCCTTCTATCATGCTGCTGTTAAAATCAGCAAAAGAATAGAAAAGTTGACTCGGCGATTCTGATTGAAACATATAAGGTTGTTTACTTTACTATCAGTCAACAAGACAATAACACATTTTAGTCTCAGTTTCGATCAAAGTGAGTTTTATTTTTTGCAATGTTTTTGAAATGGCTCGGCCACACAATGATTCCGTCTGTAGAGACTCTGCTGGATTTGAATTTCGAAGTTCTTAGACATCCTTCATTCAGCCTTGATTATGCTCCGTCAGACTTCCACTTCGCTTAAGAACGCTCTGCGATGTCGGCGATTTTCCTGCGACAATGGGGTAATGCATGCGGTGCAAGCATGGCTTTGACAGAATCCGAAAAATTTTTAGTCTGAAGTTATCAATAATTCGAAAAAGCAGTTGGAAACTTGTGTGATGAAGAGTCCGGAGATTATTTGTATTATTAAATGTGCTACTGTGTAAGATTGTATCATTTCTGAATAAGTTTTTAGAAGGAAATTCCCTTTGTTTTTTTTATTAACCGTCGCATTCAGATGACAAAATCGACTCAAGCCCGGAATCGCGCGTAATAACCAGTACGATATCTTCAATATTGTCACGGTAAGGGAGTAAGGGCCTTTTACCCCTATGAAAGGGAAGTGATTGACATTTGACCTATACTTTCATCCTTCGCCGCTAGATGCCACTAGCGAGCCCCCGCGATCGTTAATAGTAAGCGTACATGCCAATAAAAGTTAAATTTCCAGCTCGGAATGAAAAGACCAGAGAAGGCTTTAGTGACCCTACGCTGGTTGTCGGAAAAAGGAGTTGAACTGTCCTTTCCCGGAGCCTTTGAAGACATCAGACCCCGACAATGATGGCGTCACGGTCTCTAGATGAGATGTCCACTCGCGGACAGCCAGGAGTGCAGTTTGATACGGGGGCGGCGGGGTTTAGGAGCATATCCCTCTACTCTTCACCCACGTGACCAGGAGTTTGCATTCAAGTGGCACTTTGATCTAAGCCCTAAGACAGGATTTATCGCTTGGATATCCGGGTCGACCTAACCCCTAAGAGAGCTGTTAGGGAAAACCATCGATTCCCCTACTACTTGACTTCTGGTCGGTGCCACCGACCTTCGGGAGATCCCTACGAGCTCTGGGATGGGAGATGGTGGGATGTAAATAAAAATTGGCACACAGAAACAGCCAGATCTTTTCTATTTATCAAAATATTTCCTGTCATATCGACACTTCTGCCATCTGGAGCGGAAGGAATTCATCTTCGTTTCAAGTTGCATCTTGTTCATGAAGCGAATGCGTAGCAGAATTCTGATCTTCACTTCCATAAAAATGCACTCCTCGCCGATATGCCTTCATCGGTCTTAAAAAAAGAACATCTGAGGGTGTGAGTTCTGGACCATGAAGGTGGTGGCACAACAGAATCCTTTGAAAACGGCCAACGAACTGTGCAACCTTGAATGCCGCCTATGGTAAGAATTGTCATGCAGCTGGCACAAATCAATGTTCCTCATTAAGAATCGTTTTCTTCTCAATTCCTTCTTGGGCTTATGTAGTGTCTGGTGATATCTATCGGCATTGACGGTTCCGTTTGGTCCCAAAAATTCAGGATTAATTGGATCTTTCTTGTCCCACAAAAAAGACACCTGAAACCTTTCAGCAGATCCAGTCTTCCGTATCTTACGATTGTCGTTAATCGAATTTCCAAACTGCAGGATGGGCTGTTGTTGTCTAACTTGAAGCAACCGGCATCGCCGCTAAAGTAACTTGAAATCAGAGGGAAGCCTGACATATTGTAATATTCTTACGACTGCGAAATTCAGGCTTTTTTCATGCTCTAATAAATCAGGAAGATTTTCAACGGATTAACCTCCAGATTCCAATCCGAAATCGGAGATCCAACTCGAATTCTTCGAGGACGTGGAGACCCTGGAATATTTTTCCTGTTCGAGATGCGGCCAGGGAACACTCAGTTCAACGGTACGTCCGAGCATCACAGTCTCACTGAATTTCCAGAGCCTGTATTTAGTTGACAAAATCATCTCATTCCCGGATTCACATGCGGTACGACATCTTATATATTGTCAGGATAAGAGAATAAAAGTCTGTTACCCCTGTGAAAGGGGAAGTAATTGAGCCTTGACCTTTACTTTCAGCCTCGGCTGAAAGTAAAGGTCAACGCTCCTCCGGGAATGGGAACGCTTCCTTCTCATCATCGACCAATAAGATCTGGCGTTCTCATCAAGTTGCCACTCAGACCAAAGCACCAAACCTAAGCCAGGACTATCTCCTCGATATTCGGAACGACCTTCGCCCTATAATAATGGGTAGGGAGTACCGCCTATTCCCAATTCCTGGACTAGGATTCATGTGGTCGGTGTCAAGAACCGCCCGGAGAGCTCTACGAAGTAAAGAAGTGTAATCCAGGCGCAGTCACTTTAACGGTGAATTAGATGGTGGATGGCATTAGACGGCGCTCGCTCTCGGTATGCCTTTGAGGATATTGTTTGCATGGGATGTCAGGATATCATTTGATTAAAAAAATAGACTAATTGCATATTATATAATTGGTCTAACTTTTTTTATCCTACTGTTTTTTTTTTGAAGCAGCAGACTCCAGACTGCAAGCAATTGATCACGAAAGTACGTTCAGCATTCATGCCCGTAAGATATTACATCTTAATATTGCATCTGCCACGTTCTTCATTCTTCCTCATTCCAGAGAACCCGATCGCGTGCGACTGCTGCATGGCCTGGATCGTCCTCCGACTTCCTGGGAAGCGCCGTGCTCCGACAGGACGGAGTTCCAACACCTGGACATCCAGGACTTCCAGGACTGCGTCGAGTCCGACCGGAGGTATTCGTGGATCAGCTCAGCTCTTCTTTCATCGTTTTTTCCATCGCAGTCTGGTAAGATAGTGGCGATGCCCTTGAACGAGGTATCGACTCTCTCCGAATTCATTCCTGCGGATCATTCATAGCCAGGCTTCGAGTTCGATTGGGATTGGCCGGTCTTTCAGCTTTACAGGAGGATCTTTCACAAGGAGACCTCGAAATTCATTCTCAACTGGTATGACGCATGTGGAGCAAGCCAAAGTATCCTGAGATGTAGATAATGGACTTGAAGCTGGGAACGTTCTTCCGTCATTGCAGCTTGACTGTAGTTCATCAAGACGCTTTTCCCCAGGAAGGGTGAAAAAACTGTATTAGTTTCTTTCGCTGTTTTGGATGCAAGGAATGTTTCATCTCTCTTTTTTTTAATCGCTCTGGAAAATCTTCCAAATGATGATGTAGACGAGATTATGATATCGTTGGACAGATCATGAAATTCCCTATCAAATGATATGTAACATATGGTGATTAGAGCCATGACCTCCGCCTACATGTTTTGTAATGATTTTGAAGTTTGACCTGACCTGGACCTAAAGTCCTATATCCTCAAGGAGGATAGTGTTGCAATAGCATTGGCTATTCACCTTGGCTCATTGATCGATGAAGATCATGTCCGTTTTCCCCATGGCAGAGAATGCAACCGAAACCATGCCCTTCTCTATGGGGTGCTTCTTGCCAATGAGGGTCCGTAAAAAAGATCATATGGGATTCTATAAGATTTTCGAAAAACAAAAATTCAGTTGGATTCCTATAGGATTCTAATAGCATGCGTATCAGAAACCCATTGGATGCTATAAGAACCCTATGGGATTTATGTGTCTCAAAAACCTCATAGGACTCTATAGGATTTTTTTTTTTAAGGGGAGTCTTTCTGGAGTAATTTATATTATTATCTTCTTCCGACCATTAGCACGACTACAAATACTGAGATTTTGAGTGTTCACCGGAGTTGTCACAGGGAACATTTTCTCGTCGCTAAATCATTATCAGGATCACTAAAACTTTGAGCGAAAAACAAGGTATGTAGTGTTTCATTTCATTTTTAGATGTCATTCTTCGTATCGTCTCTCGTCGCCTTGTTTCGTGCTTCTCTCGTTCGTTCTCCCCATCACTTGCTCCCTTCGTTTTCCATTACTTTTATGGGTTAAAAATGGGTTGTTAAAAATTAACATTCAGTTTATGTGAAATTAACATAAACATACTGTTTGGGTAACAAGGTGAACAGTGGCAGGCCTTGAGCTTCCTCAACAATTGAGAACGTCATTCGTGTTGATTGACTAATTGAGAAAGACTGTCTAGACTAATGGGTACTATGCAACTCTGCAACACCAGGATGAAGCAATCCGGCGAAGAATGCCAAGATGTCTCACACAATTGGGGTTTCTGTTTCATGGTAATATGCTCGTCCCCACGTAGCGCGTCTGCTGCAGAATGGTGGGGGGGGTCCTTCAGCATCCACCCTACAACTCTGATCTTGAGCCAAGTGATTTCCATCTGTTTCCGTTCATGAAGAAGCATCTCGGTAACCGTCATTTCCGGTCGGATGGTGAGGTGGTGAAAGAGGTGCAAAACTGTCGTCTGCACAATACATGAAATTATATGCTGCCTCCATTGAAGATCTTATACCACGGTGGGACAATGCCTCAAAGTCCAAAAGAGGATTATGTGGAAAAGAATGCCTCCTTGAGCATTCTATGCAGCACCTGTAGCATATGGTTGCAATAAGTACAAACACTTTGGACACTGGTTGTAAAGTTTTTTTTTCTGATCACCCCTCGCAGATGTAGTATCTAGTGGCGTTTCGCCATTGCTGGGTCTTTTTACGCATTCAACGCTGCGGTCTTCTTTAACAAGCGGGTTCTTAGTTTGCTAAGATTTCATTTTATTTGATCCACTTTGCTGATGTTGCTCGTTCCACGAAAATGGGTCGTCTTTGATGTTTGCGTATGCCCTGAGATTTTCCTTTCGCACAGGTGGTTCCTGTCCTTTTTGCAGGTCATCTTGTATTCTGGTTGTCATCTCAGGCATAGAATTCTCCAAGTTCACATATTTGTGTGTGGTTGAAAAATTGTCTTTTTCCACGAATGCATAATTTTTTCTCGATGGTGGAACATATTCATCATCTGCATTATCTCGTGTCATTTTTAGGTAGTCCGTCTTTGTCCGGAAGTATTCGGCGTTCCTTTTTTCGAACAGCTTGCTCTTTTCCATGTAGTGCTGCAACAGAAGATGACTGAGAAGTTGTTGAATTCTGGCTTTGAATGAGATATCGGAAGGGGCATAGAAGGAATACTCACTAGACGCTCCGACTCGTGTAGCATTTCCCCGAAGCATGCGCTCAACACAGGGAAAGTCGGTCGACTGTTAGGATCCGCATCCCAACATCTCCTCATGATTTGGTAACTGCCCAAGCACGAAAGGAAAGACAGTCAGTATGAATCTCCGATGAACACCCTGTTCAATGTTAAAGACCGCGACCGGTCAACAGTGTCCCACATATGATCATTGGCGAATCGAGGAGACTCCATGCGATAGCCCGTTTGAAGACGTCGGACGAGCTCTGCGCCGTTCATGGCAGGATACGGGGACTCCCCTAGGCTGAACAATTCCCAAAGTACTATTCCATACGCCCAAACATCTGATTTGCTCGTGTAAACCATGTCATGCGTGAGGGACTCCAGGGCCATCCATTTTATCGGCAATAGACCCTGGAATATATCAATTTCGTCAGTTAATGAACATTAGACTTATGGATTTTCCAACATTCAACGAAATGGAGATGTGGAACTCACGTCCCCTTTCTTCATGTACTGATTGTTCTTATAGATGTCTCTGGCTAGGCCAAAGTCGCAAATTTTCACGATGTTTTCTTCTGCTAGCAGAATGTTTCTAGTCGCCAGATCCCTATGGACCACCTGAAAGAAAATGAAAACTCAAATATAATTGTCGGTTCCTGAATTCCATACATTGGACACACTTTCTCTTTTGACAATAAATAAAAAAGCATTTATTATAATGTTATTGATATTGATTTGTAGAAACATTGGCTAAATTAATTTTAGATAGGATTGTCAGGATGAAAATCGAATTCTTGAAATATACCTTAATTTGCAATTGAGGAAGGCTGGGCATGGCGGATACACATGCTGAGGTAGATATATGTTTAAGAAACAGCTTATTTATTCTTTCCCTCTTAAGCCTTATATCTTTTTTACGTTCAAATTCTGATGTCATCAAAGAATCAGCTCGTAGTTGAGCTCGGTGACTAACGTTATGACGTCGATAACTCTCTCTTTAAGAACGTGACGCCATGAAGCCCTTGAACGATGTCAGACTACTAGTGCGAGATGGCGAGTTATTTCTTCTTCTTAATGGAAGGTGATGATTGAGAAAGTAGTGAAAGAAAAGGCCCACCTTTCGAGAAGCCAAGTATTCCATGCCTTGAGCTATCTGGTAGGCCCAAGAGACGAGATTGCTAGTCGTGAAGTGACTTGAGCGATCGCTTTCTTCTAAGGACTGCTGGGTGGTGTTCTCATTCAGCATAGGATTTATTGGATACGTCATATTTCCTGGAATACAAGTTATTTATGACATTCAATGGCAAAGTACTGTTAGGAATGGCATGCACCTGAAAAGGGAAATAGAGGAAGCTCAAACGTCAGCTCTTGCCAAAGGAAATTCCAAATGCAGATAGGGATACAAATGTGTTTGGCCGATTTTATACAAGCATACGATGTATGGTGTACAATGATGCATATTGTACTAGGGAACAATTTTCTAGCAAATGCGTGAAAAGAAAGAAGCAGCATCAAGGAATAATGCATAGTTTAGGATTTTGATCATACGACTTGAAGATGCAAGAATCCCGGAGTTAGAAGTAACAGAATCCCTCTGGAGTCCACTGTTGGTTCCACCAAAGCCAGTCACCATGGATCCATCCGGAATATACTTCAGAACCCATTGACTACACAGACGAGAATTAGTTCTTAGATGGAAATGTCTTGGTGAAACAGGAAATAAATATAATGTCGGAAAGGCTCACCCCTGAGTTCCTTCTCTCTTAGATTTAAGTGCGGCCACTTCCTTTGCCGAATCATCGATGTCATGCTGCTGTCTCCCGATGCTGTCATTGATCATTTTCGTGCGAGGATCAATCTGATCGATGAAGTACGATTGATTTCTCCTCGTGTACTTCTCCAGACTCCCAAAGGGGCAATATTCCACGATAATCATCAGATCTCCTAAAGTATGATTCAAATTGCTTTGAAGCAGCGATATTAATAGCTTCAAGATTCAATATAGTGATATCAAGAGGCGATTTCACCCATTTCGATATCACGTCTCGAGGTTGAGCGTTCCTTAATTTTAGGGTAGGCCTAACCCTCTCAAAGCTATATATATTTGTATTTTTTTGTTTCTTTTTTTTTGTTATTTCACTATCATAGTTGCTTACTGTCTAGTACCTAACGTCAACATTGCTCCCCACATTTTTGCCTGTCCATGAAAGCACCTAGTTTCTTCTTAAAAATAGTCAAAATCCGGCGCAGCCACTACTTCGTCATCAAACGCATTCCACGCGTTCACCATTCTGCAAGTAAAGAATTCCTGTCTCGACCTGAGGCGCATCTGCGGTTTGGGCAACTTAAGTCGGTTACCTCTCGTTCTCTTGCTGTCATCAGACTGGAAAAAACTACCACACTCGACATGATCTATTCCTTCAATTTTCTTGAAAGCCTGGATGAGATCGCCCCTCCTTAACCTTCGTTCGAGCTAATATCGTCCCAACGCTTCTAAACGCTTCTCGTATGATAGTTCCCTGACCTCCTTAATCATGTTAGTGGCCCTCCTCTGTACTTCCTCGAGCGTCAACAAATCGCCTTCATTTGTAGACCTCCAAAACTGGATGCAATATTCTAACTGGGGTCTTATCAACGCCGCATACAATGGAGGAATAACGCGCGAAGTCCTACTTGCAACCGGCCGATGAATGTAACCTAGAATCCTGTTGCATTTGGCCACCGTCGCTTGCGCGTTTCATTTTTTTGAAAGTTGAATAGCGCATTGGGCAAACACCCCAGTTTTTGTCACTTAAGCACCAGTGATACGCTGATACGACTCCCATAGGAAGTGGACACCCTGTGTGTGCACACCAGGAAACATTAGTAATAGGTCCTCGTACGGAAAGATGTTGAAATGCTTGAAAACGTTCAGATTAGCTATGCTGGATTTAAGCCTCACTGGCCAACAACTTGAGACCACCCGGAAACTGTCTATATGCTTGGTAATTTTTATATAATTGCAATAATTTTACATCTTTTTTTTTTTAGTTGATATATTTCTTGATTCTGTGAAGGTATAATAGCTGCAAAATCAGAATGGAAATTTTTAGAGTGTAATATTAGCCTTGATTTCTAGTGGATACTCAATTTTCTTCCCTTTCATTGTAGTACAGGGACCATTATCTCGGAATGAAGATATTCCTCAGTCCATAAAATCAGACTACGAGACTTTATTTTTTCATTGTAATCTGATTCTCAGTTATAAGTTTTGCATGCAATAAATTTCAGGGATGAACCCCATATGTCTCCGTTTTATCTCAGCACCAGTTCTAAGGTGGAATCACCACCTTAACCTTCTTTTCTGTTTAAAGAGTCAGGAGTCAGGAGTCAGGAGAGTTAGTGATATCAAGAGGCGATTTCGCCCATTTCGATATCACGTGTCGAGGTCGAGCGTTCCTTAATTTTAGGGTAGGCCTAACCCTCTTAACGCTAAATATTTTTGTATTTTTGTTTGGTTTTTTTTATATTTATTTTTTTTTTTTTTTTTTTTTACTATCCTAGTT